GTGTGTGTGTGTGTGTGTGTGTGTGAGAGAGAGAGAGACAGCGTCACATCACAGTGGAGTTAGCTGTCTTCACCGCGGCTTGTGTACTGCATCATTACTGTGTGTGTTCTCATTTCGGGCTTGAACTGATGGTAAAACTAATTACATTATTTACTGTCTTTACATTTATTTTGAAAGATGAAGCTCACGATTATGGTAAGGGGCGTTACATTTCCGACGAGTGCTTGTGGTGTTCGGCCAATCACAATGCACTGGGTCAGCTGGCCAATCAGAGCAGACTGCGTTTGTCGGAAGGAGGGACTTTGTAGAAAACTAAGCGTTTGAGAGAGGCGGGGCATAGAGGACCTACAATAATGTACAGTATTTGAAAAATAATGTGTTTTTGAACATTAAAGCATGTCAACATATTCTTTTACACCAAATACACAAAATAATGATCTTTAAAAAAGCATCATATGACCCCTTTAAATTAATGATTTTGTGAAGTATGTTTCGTTTGAACTTCTATTAACGCAGTGTATCAATGGAAATATATTTAGTATATTTCAGAATCAGAATCAGAAGAGCTTTATTACCAAGTATGTTTACACACACAAGGAATTTGACTTGACGACAGGAGCTTCCAGTGTAGAAGAAAGTACAAACATAGTGCAGACATACATGATAGTGTAGACATACATAGGAATAACACAGTAGGGATGTAATATAAAACTAATATAATAAATAAAAAAAAAAAAAAAAAGTCAGTTAAACACTATAAAAAGGGGTTATATAAACTGAACATGTTTAATCATCCTGTTACCCATTTTGTAAATTTCCTAGTGGGAAAGGAACGTTCCATATCAGGATTTAAAGGGATAGTTCACCCAAAAATGAAAATTCTGTCATTAATTACTCCCCTTCATGTCGTGCCAAAGCTGTAAGACCTTCGTTCTTCTTCGGAACACACATTAAGAAATTTTTGATGAATTCTGAGAGCTCTCTGACCCTCCCATAGACAGCAAGGGTACTACCACGATCAACGTCCAGAAACGTAGCAAGGAGATCGTTAAAATAATCTATGTGACATCAGGGGTTCAACCGTAATTTTACGAAGCTACAAGAATACTCTGTGCGCAAAAGAAAAAAAACGACTTTATTTAACAATTCGTCTCTTCCGCGTCACCCTGTAGCGCCATTTTGGAGAATATCCACTGAACGTAAACAGCGTATGCTATTCTGTGTCCGCTGCATCACGCGGATACGTTGTTTTCGTTCAGATCAAAGCACAAACAACATAGAAAACAACAGATACAAACAAATAAAACAAATAGAATACAAACCGATTACAAAAGTTTTTTTTTTTAAGAAAACAAGCAGTAAATGAATAGAGTGCAAGTCTAAAAGGGACAAGTTTTTTTTTAAAGAATAGAATTAGAATAGAGAGTGCTAGAGGTAGAGCATTAGAGGTAATGATGCTGAAAATTCAGCTTTGCATCACAGGAAAAAATTACATTTTTAAGTATATTAAAATAGAAACCGTTATTTTAAATTGCAATAATATTTCACAAAAAATACGTTTTTTTTCCTGTATTTTTGAACAAATAAATACAGCCTTTATGAGCACAAGAAACTTCGATAAAAAAATCTTACTGATCCCAAATGTTTGAACGTTAGTGTATATATACATATAATTTTTTTTTTTAGGTTTTATTTTTATTTTAGTACATCAAGTTAAACAAAAAAATAAGAAATATTGCTTTGGAAACTAGCTGAATTAAATTATTTATTATTATAATTATTTGTAATTATTATTATTTTAGTTCATGTTAATTTCATTACAAGTAACAAATGTTTTGTGTTTTGGTTTAAGTTTGTTAACTATAATAATTCTGCAGACAGTTCATGAGTTGTTTGTGAGCTAATAATTAAATCATAAAAAGGTCAAATTAAAATAAATCAATATTTGTAAAGTAAGAACAATGACAAATAAAACGCCTACTAAAAATATTTTATTTGGATGTCTGCATGTTGTGTGAACAATTGACCAACAGCAGAGAACCATGAACATCCAAATATGTTGTTAGATTATTGAAATAATAATCACTTGAAATCTCAGGAGGTACTCTAATAAATATTTAGGTCAAAAACTTTTGGGTCTCACTGTGTTTACCTGCAGCTCCCCATAGAGACGGCAGCAGAGGTGTTGGGCAGTCTGATGACCGTGCTGAACTCTCTCATCCTGAAGCTGTTGAGCTCAGAAACACAACAGCCGACTCGACCTGAACAGCAGGATGAAGCAGACCTCTTTCTCGATACCAACCACGTACCTGTTCAGAACACCGAACAGGTAGCCTTGACCTTCATCAGGGATTGTTCCAGAAACATTATTATTGGGGAGTAGAAATATAAATGAGATGGCAGCTCACTGTGGTGAAACCTTACATGGTTGCTCTCCTGCCCTCCAGGTCCTGCTGGCTGTCCTCGGATCAGTGTTTAAACACCCAGTAGTGGAGCAGTGGTTTCTGGCTCTGGAGTTGAGCTCTTTCCCTCCTCACTCCCTGAATCCAGTGCGGCTGAAGCAGCTGTGTGCTTGTCTGTGAGTGGACCAAAATTCCTCCACAGCGCTGTAACAGACTCATTGCAAGTTATCGCAAACGCTTGATTGCAGTTGTTGCTGCTAAGGGTGGCCCAACCAGTTATTAGGTTTAGGGGGCAAACACTTTTTCACACAGGGCCATGTAGTTTTGGATATTGTTTTCCCTTAATAATAAAAACCTTCATTTAAAAACTGCATGTTGTGTTCACTTGTTATCTTTTACTAATATTTTAATTTGTTTGATGATCTGAAACATTAAAGTGTGACAAACATGCAAAAAAATAAGAAATCAGGAAGGGGGCCAACACTTTTTCACACCACTGTACGTTACATAGTTTATTTTGATAGGTGAACTGTCTTTGTAGTGTTAAGAGAAAGCACCTCCACAGCGCGCGTTATCAAACTAAAGACAGTCTTTTCTGCTTGCTAAACAAGTGAATTTTGGCAAGATATTTTCAGAGATGATCGACAATATGTTATAGAATAATAATTGAATGAAAACCTACTTTTGACAAAAAATTGACATTCAAACTTTTTTTTTTTTGATTTTGCTGAAAATGTCCCAGCACAACATCCGACGGGTTTTCTTAGATCGCTTCACATATGTTGTGATCAGAATAGAAAACTAGCATACACATACTGTGCAGTATATATGGAATAACTTACGGTAAAACAATTTTTTTTTTAAAGTAGTATGTAAAAGTAGTACACTTTGTACTACAATAAACCTCACAATATTCTTAATTCAGCCAGTGATGCCCAGTTCTCATCAAAGAAGTCTCTTCTGCATTCATTTGTTTAAAAATACTGTAAAATAAGGAATATTGTGAAATATTATTACAATTTGTTACATACTGCTTTCTATTTGAATATATTTTGAATTGCAATTTATTCCTGTGATGCAAAGCTGAATTTTCAGCATCATTACTCCAGACTTCAGGGTCACATGAGATATACAGTGCCGTGAAAAGGTTTTTGCCCCCCTTCCCGATTTTTTTTAATTTTTTGCATATTTGTCACTCTTAAAAGATTCAGTGCATCAAACCAATTTAATATTATGCAAAGATAATGCAAGTAAATACAAAATGCAGTTTTTAAATGATAATTTCATTTATTAAGGGAAAAAAGCTCTTAAATCATGAAAGAACTGTGATTAACCACATTATTTTAGAAAGCGGAGTTAAATTCCACTAGCCACACCCAGGCCTGATTACTGCCAGACCTGTTGAATCAAGAAATCACTTATATAGAAACTGTCTGACAAAGTGAAGCATGCTTAAAGAGCAACACATCATGCCGCGATCTAAAGAAATTCAAGAACAGATGAGAATCAAAACAGTTGACATGTATCAGTCTGGAAAGGGTTATGAAGCCATTTCTAAGGCTTTGGGACTCCAGCGAACCACGTTTAGAGCCATTATCCACAAATGGAGAAAGCTTGGAACAGTGGTGAACCTTCCCAGGAGTGGCCGGCCAACTAAAATTACTCCAAGAGCACAGCGACGACTCATCCAAGAGGTCATAAAAGAACCCAGAACAAAGCAGGACAATGATCCCAAACACACCAGCAAGTCCACCTCTGAATGGCTCAAGAAAAACTAAATTAAGGTTTTGGAGTGGCTAAGTCAAAGTCCAGACTTAAATCCGATTGAGATGCTGTGGCATGACCTTAAACAGTCCATTCATGCTAAAAAACCCTCCAATGTGGCTGAATGAAAACAATTCTGCAAAAATGAGTGGGCCAAAATTCCTGTGAAAGACTCATTGCCATTTATCGCAAACGTGTGGTTGCAGTTGTTGCGGCAAAGGGTGGCACAACCAGTTATTAGATTTAGGGGGCAATTACTTTTTCACGTAGTGCCAGGCAGGTTTGGACAGCTTTTTTCCCTTAATAAATGAAATCATAATTTCAAAACTGCAGTTTGTATTTACTCAGGTTATCTTTGTGTAATATTAAAATTAGTTTGATGATCTGAATCTTTTAAGTGTGACAAATATGAAAACAATTAAAAAAACAGGAAGGGGGCAATATCTTGATGAATTTTCACACCACTGTAGATATATAATCCATCATTGCTGGATAAAAGAATAAAATGCTGGATAAAATTCTATTATTTGGATAAAAGCATCTGACGAAAGCATAAATGTAAATGTAAAATCATTTTTCTTTAAAATAATATCTTACCACAAACTTTTGAACAGGACAGTAAGGTTTAGCATTTTTAACACATTTACAGAAAAGTGTAACTTTTGACTGTCCAGTGATCCATCAAATAAAGAGATATTAATCTCATTTCTAACCCTACAATAGAAATGGATGGTCAAGTTGTGGGATGCATTATGCAGTGTGCTCTGGATGTGTAATGTCCATTTTAACAATTGTATTAAGTTATCTGGATATTAGATTCATGCAGTACAGAAAGTTTTCATATTGAGCTCACTATGGATGCCTGCTGCAAAAATGCTATGATGAATACTATGCAGTGTAGTAGTATGCCATTTTAAACAGCCTGTTTGCCTTTTCAGCGTATATATACATTTTATTAAATATTAATATATATATATATATATTTTTTTTTTTACATTTAAGTATGTTTTTTGTTTGATGTATCACTGAAAAAAATCCCTGTTGCTTTTCAGAAGCTGTCCCAAAAAGGAATCCCTCTCTGTCCGAGCGCTCCTGGCTCTGCATGATTACACTGACCCATCAAGCTTGAAGGAGGTGGTGTCCACCCTGCTGTTGCTCCCTCAGAAGTATCTTGTGGCCCCTGAGAAGCAGCTGAGCGTGTACGGTCATGCAGTGCTGAAGCTGCTCTTAAACAGCATGAGACGCTTCTCTGAAGACCGCAGCAGCTGCATTGCTCTGTCTCAGGCCCACCTGCAAGGTCTGGCTGCTCTCCTCACATCCAGCCAGTGCGTGCAGCTTGAGGACTTCCTGCTACAGGTACAGACATTGCACTCAAGCCCCCCATATACTCTCAGCGAAGTGCTTTTTCATTCTTCGCTTGAGGTAATAAAGAACTTAAGCAGCAGTACACTGCTAATGAACATCCTGTTTTGATGAATATGTAAATCTGGGTTTTTAAAAAGTTCTTAAAGTCTTCAGTTCACCCTTCCTCAATTTAAGGTCTTCAGTTGGAGCAGAAATGACTAAATTCATGCCATGAAATGCCAATTAAACTATGAATTTCTAAAAGGTTACATGTTACCAGTGTTGGGGGAGTTACGTAATCAGATTACTTTTTTCAAGTAACTAGTAAAGTAACGCATTACTTTTTAATTTACAAGAGAATATCTGAGTTACTTTTTCAAATAAGTAACGCAAGTTACTTTTTTTTCCAATTTATTGACTGACAGCTCTCCTGTCGCCATGTTGAGAGAAATCAGAAGATGTTACTGCAATTCTAAAATAAATATGAATATGCATTAATTCATCTAAATCACAAAAAAAAACACAGATTCAGTATTCCTCAAAATTAATAAAAATAATGCAACTCAGAATATGACGCAAACCTGCAATAATTAAATGTTAAACAACACAAATATCCTTTATGTATTTAATCCCATTCTATTAACCAATGTCTTATGACCGTACTAATAAGCAAAAATGACTCTAGACAAACATTTGTGTCTTTTTTTTAATTTCTGAAGTGTGTTGAAATGTCTTCTTCTGCATTCTACTGTACGGACTTAAATGTACTTTCCCTTCAGTCTGAGGCTTATTCATTTCACTTTTGGTGTGAAAAGGCTTTTATATTTGCCCAAAATAGAACTTTTTTATTTTAAAAACAAGCAAGCCCTGTCCAGATTTTAAAGTAACGCAAAAGTAACGTAATGCATTACTTTCCATAAAAAGTAATTAGTTACTTTTTTTTTATGGAGTAACGCAATATCGTAATGCATTACTTTTAAAAGTAACTTTCCCCAACACTGCATGCTACTCTGAATTTTTGACTTGTTTTCCAATACAAATGTCTAAACGTACTTAAATCAAGAATATTTAGATGCTAAATGAAGATAGCAGATGTTTTCTGAGAAATTGAACAAAATTTTGTTTAAAACAAGAATCATTCAGTGGGGTATGAAAACTTATTTTCCTTTTGAATCAAGATTTCCGAGTACATTGGCTGTTATTTGTTATTTTGTTATTCATAAACTCACTTCATTTGGATAACTTTCACAGAGAACAAGACCTTATCATCTTTCGTTTTTCTTGTCAATTAATCATCATCCTGATTTAGGAATCTTTTTTGCACTGGAAAGCAAGACAAAAATACTGAGAAAGAACATCATTTTTGCAATGTGATCAGAAGGCACATATGAAGTTATTTTCATATTCTAGTATTTGTTAGCAGAACCTTAAGTTCTTTTATTTCTTAAAAATTTTTTTTAAAGTACTGAAGAGATACTTAAAGTCTCAAATTTCCCAGAGCACACTTACTGCAGCGGGCCAATCAGTGGTAGTTTCAAGGCGTTTAAAAGCCAGAGGCCTATTTCAGTCTCCCCAAACAAACTCCAAAATGATCTTCGCTTTGACCTGATGTTGTTCGGAATGATGTCACACCTGTTCGTTCTTCGATTTTGCTTGCAATTATAGCGGGGCCTTTAAAGTAGCAATAATGCACTCACTGATATAGTTCATTTGCACACTTTAAATAAAAATGTTTCTCTCTAGGTGCTCTCCCAGGAGCCAGGCACTGCCAAACTCATTCAGACAGACGTTCTCTTGCACTGCATCCAGAGAGAAAGTCCTTCAGCTCAGGCTTTGGGGGTTCTTCTTCTGGAGAACTGCTCCACACATGTCCTCAGCTTTGAGCTCTGGTGCCTGGAAGCATCTAACCTAACACAGATCAGCTCCCAAAACAGCAGCTTCCTGTTTTTACTCAATGCCTACTTGAGGAGAGCCACCATTGATGATCCCACCCGCCCTAAAGACAGTCAGTACTGCGGCTTTCATAGTAGTGGCTCAAATAATGTTGTTCAAGTTGACATGATTCCATAGGTTTGATTCATGTTGTCTCATCTGTCACGTTGCACAGTTCAAAAGTCAGTGCTGAAGGCCCTGAAGAAAGCTTTACTCTCTGAGCTGTGGCATACAGTGCAGCAAGGAGAAGTTGGGGTTGCGACCGGTCTGCACGTGGAGGTTGTGTCCGGTCTCATCCGACTGGCTGCTGTGACCTCCGACCTCACACCACTTATGAATGATCTACCTGCCATCCTTCAGAAAACTGACAGTAATGAAAGGTAAACCCAGAAAGCCTGACATTTGAAATAATGGTCAGAATTTTTTTTTTAAATGGAACAGTTGATTGAGTTTAACAGTTTACAGTTTATATATATATATATACATACATACATACATACATACACTATGGCTGGTAAGCGATTAACATTTTTAATCTAATTAATTACATGATGTGCCGATTAATTAATCACAAAGTAATCGCACATCAAATTTGGCTGAGAAATTACTCCCAAAAGATCATTTAAAGTCATTGTTGTGTAAAGCATCAAACAGACATGACAAAAAGTAGCTTCAGTAAGAAACATTTATTACATATACTCTTTTGGACCATGAGGGTGAGTAAATGACAACATTTTTTTGGTGGGTGAACTATATCTTTAATAATTTCTATTATTATTACTATGGAAATGTGAAATTATTTCTTTAATGAAATTATACTCTAAATAATAAACTAAAACTGCCAGTAGGTGGTGGTAAATGTGAAGTGACATGTGGCCAAGTTATGGTGACCCAAGTGCACACACACACACACCTGGAGCATATTGCTGCGGCGCCCGGGGAGCAGTTGGGGGTTCGGTTCTTGCTCAAGGGTCTCACCTCAGTTGTGGTATTGAGGGTGGAAGAGAGCGCTGGTTATTCACTCCCCCCACAGACAATTCCTGCCGGACCTACGACTCGAACCCGCAATCTTCGTGTTACAAGTCTTACTCTCACCATTAGGCCACGACTGCCCCTTTTTTTTAAGTGAAATGTTAAACGTCTTAATGATGAAGTCATTGATTCATTCGATTCGTTCAAATGGCTGATTCATTCGGGAGGGACGTAAATGGTTCTCTTTATGAATGGTCCATTAAATCATTAGGCTTGTTTGACTTGAAGCAGATCATCACCATCAGACCAATGATATCAAATTACTGCAAGAGCGATTAGAGAGCAGACGACTCCATATACTTTTGAATCTAATTATCTAATTAACGCGTTAAATGGACAGCCCTAATATATATATAAACTTTTTTTCTTCTATGGAACAGTTTGAGCCTTAAAAAAAAAATATATATATATATAATATCGCATCCAAAATAAAAGTTTTCTTGTATATATAAAATAAAAATAAACGAGGGTTTCCCAAACTTAAGGTTTTCTGAGGGAACTGCAGGGTGTTTGTTTGATAAAATAAAAAAAATAAAAAAAACTGATTAACAAATACTTTAAAAATAAAGACAATCCAAACATTTACTTAAAATATTTTATTTGCTTGTCTGCATATAATGTAATTAACCAACGTGTGATTCTAAATCAACATTAGAGAAGAATGTGTGAAACTTAAAATCTGAGGGGGCACTTCAAGTAAATATTTGAGGTCAAAGGGGTTTGTTTGACAAAAACATTTGGGTTATATACAGCTATATGTACCATTTGTTATTTTTTACAGATTACTTTAAATAATAACAATAATTTAACCTATACATTAAATAACAACTACCAAATTTTGTTATAAGTTTGATTGCATCATATAATAATTGCTGTTAATGGTGTTTATCGTCTGTTTGATTACGTCTTTAATTGATTTTTCAGTACATTTCTGCCATATGTACATTAACTGACAGTCACCACTGATAAGCTACCACTAAATATTGTAGAAACTTAATTTGCTGTAAAGTTGCTTTGTAACGATTTGTATCGTGAAAAGTGCTATACAAATAAAATTGAATTGAAATAGCCATACATGGAAATTATTGAAACGTCCCTTTTTTGTTACTGAGGGGTAAATTGGTTCTGAGGTTTAAATTTTGACACGTCCTACTTTTATTCTGTGTAGGCTTTGCATTTTTAATACATGCTTGAACTGAAGCTTTTAGGATTCCAAAGTTTTTATTTGCATAAAATTTACTAAAACATCTCGTTTCAGGTGGAAGCTGGCTACCTCCATCAGCGAAAAGCTGTCAGATTCAGAGGAACTGTGTCAGTGGAGGAAATCTCTGCTTTCAGCTGCTCTCCTCTGGCTTTCTGCTGTTTATAAAGATCAGAAAGACCCACAATCCCATCATGAAGAGACCATGCTGACAAGACTCAAGTCACTCCTGGTGAGTCAGTATGGTCATGGTCATCTTACTTTTCTAGATGGATGAACATCTGGTTTCAACATAATTCCTGAGGGTGTAAACAGTACTTTAGCTTTCTGATAGCAATGTGTCAGTATTATTCAAATGATACTGAGTTTTCCAGATTAAGATGGGTTGAAAGTTGAAAAAGGTTAGTGATAATTTTTTAAAAATTACAACAATATTACTTGCCAACAATTGTAAGTATCATTGTTGTACTATTGAAAACTGACAGTTGCATATTTTAAACATTAACATTTGCTTGCCTGATAAGCTTTTTCAAACTGAGGGACAAGTCAGAATTTCTGATATTATTTTCAATTGTGCATATTAATTATATTCAAAGTTACAGCATTGTTGTAATGTGTTGACCAAGTATTCACTTGTACTTTTTTATAAAAAATACGCTATGTGTTTAACACAGTTTTATTTAACACAGAATACTGATATCATAGTCCATTGTTATTATTTTATTTACAGATATTAACTGCTGTTAGTTGAAAAGTCACATAAACATAATGACCTAATAACTAGCAGTATTTTGTACTTGTACTTAAACATGTTTAGAATGTATATTGCTCAATATTCAGCTGATGTATTCTGCATGTTGGGTTTATTGCAGATCTTTCCAGAAAATATCACTGCATCAGACTGGAACACCTTTGTTAAGTCTGGGCTGAAGTAAGTGGTTTTTCTCTTAATAAACAAAACCAAATTGGATAAACTATTTACTAACTCAGTACTCAGCTGACAGTATCAGTGTCCGTACTGGCTGATTAAAACTTATGAAAAAATTCCACTCTCAGGTATCGATACCGTGATCCTAACTTTTTGGGCACCTTAACCACACTGGTGGAGGTCATATATGGAACACCAGAGACCCCTAAAGAGCTGTTGCCCATGGCTACCGTCCACATGATGACCACCAGTCACTCTCTGTTCTTACCCACAATGCTTTCCACAGAGGACGATCCCGACAGTCTTCATCTGTCTAAAGGTAATGAAATAAAAGAACAGCAATATCAACAGCTCTAGATCCTTCTTCAGTGGCACTTCTGAACACATGACCCAAAAGCTTGTGGGTTTTTTTTGTTGCAACAATCAACAATCAACAATCCAATTAAACAATCCAACATGAATATATGGAAATTATATAAGAAATTCTAGATGGCGCAGGCTGATGTGTTGTCAACGCAAATTGATGATATTTACAGTGTTAAAAAACTTGGCACATTTAAATGGCTGGATAGCATTCACCAGAGCAGTTCGCAGCATGCTCTCAGAGTTCCTCTGAAACTAGGGTTGTGACGGTGAGAATTTTCCCACCGGTTAATCGACGTGTGACAACACCGATAATACCGGTATCACCGCGGGGGGCGTGGCGTTCCCTCTTTTCCTCGCTTTCCTTCGTTTTTAAATAGCTTGTAAAAGCGGCATGCGCATTTTACTTTCACTTTCAAATAGTGGCAATTAGGCGTAAAGCAGTTGTTAATTTTTAGTTCGTTTGAATTTTCCCTTTTTTCCTCGCTTACCTTCGCTTTTAAATAGGTTAAAAGCGCCGTGCGCATTTTACTTTCACTTTCGAATTAGTGGCAATTCAGCGTCAATTGCTTGAATGCAACAACAAAATACAATGTCAAACTCACTTTAGCCTATATATAAAACATAGAACTTTTATTAACAAAACGAATAAAAATACACCATGCTATAGGGCAGGCTATGCCTAATATAAAATAACAAATAACTTACATAAAGTTTAAATAGGTATACAAAACTGGAAATAAGTAAATTAGCAAAATGAATAAAGCTTGTAGGCATGGCATACACATTGATGTCAAATAAAATAAATAAATTAAAGTTTAAATAAAGTAAAAATCAGCAAACACTGTGGAACCAATTAAATAAGAAACAAATGTTTAAAAAAACTTCCAAAATCACCTTAGATAAACGGCAAAAGTCAACAGGCTTTTCAAAATCCAAAATCCTGCCAAACAAGCGCTTTTGCATTTCGTTTAGAAACTAAATCATCCGCGATCGTCTCGTCGGTCTCACCTCACTCTTCTCGTCAGTCAGCTCGACTCACTCTACTCACTGGAGAAATGAAATCTGATCTGTGATGCGACTGTCGTTCGGCACGCTGCATTGAGCAGCCATGTTCAGTTTTTAATTGTAGTGTCTGTTCTTTTACTGAACTAAATGATTTTTATTACTATTAAAAAAATCTAAATGACGGTGGGGGTCGGTGCCACGGTGGGCAAGTGACGTAACCGGTGTTGCGGCTTAACAACGGTATCACCGTCAACACCGTATCGCGGCAAGCCTATCTGAAACCCTCCACCTCCTCAGCTCCACCTTTATAGATCTGCCATGGGTTATTTTATATGCTATTTGTGCAGCAGCAGTATGTCTTAAATACTTACATCTTTGTATCGGCATATGTATTAGCAGTAGCAAGTTCCTGTACTTGCTTTGCAGCAGCAGCAATAATCTACAACAAAAGCAATAACCAACAGCAGCATCAATTCAGCAGAAGCAGCGTAGCAGATCTATTCCGCCAAGACCAAATACATGAACATTGTCATCCATTACCATGCTAAAATCTTCAGCGAGTTGTCATATACATATATATATATGTGTGTATGTGTCTGTGTGTGTGCATGTATATATGTAACCTCCCCGTGCTGGGTTGCGTCGTATCATGTGTCAACTATAGCCAGCGATATTGTCAAAAGCATCTAATATTGGCAATATTAAGAGGATTTGGCATTTCCAATTAATGTAGGCCTTTTACATTCTTCTTCTTCTTCTTCTTCTTCTTCTTCTTCTTGTTCTTCTTCTTCTTGTTCTTCTTGTTCTTCTTGTTCTTCTTCTTCAGACCTGTTGGTATTACTAGGTTACTTTTATTATTAAATTACAATTAATTTGCCCCGCAATAATTTCATAGCGCATCACCGCATAACTGACGTGCTGTGAGGATAATAAAAGATTAGGCTATTAGCTTACTCCTCATTGAAAATGTTTTTAAAAAGTTATTTTAAAACAGGTCCATTAATTTAGGCCTATACAATGAATTATAGGCCTGTAATAAAAATTATTAACACTGCAGTCATCAATGAAAATGAAGAGCAGCTTTATTTCAAGCACCGACTTTCAAAAACAACTTGTTTAATGCAAAATACATTTCTCTTTTTTTTTCACAATTTACGGGCCACAAGAGAAATATTAATGAATAATTCAAGACAGCTATGCCGTTATCAGCATATGTTGAAGGAGATTCGTCTCTTGTCGTCTCTGAGAGAATATGCGGCGTTAATGCAGCGTCAGATGCCGAAAGCACCATCAGTTTTTAATGTTTTTAACTTTCACTTTGTATAATTGAGGTTTTGTGGTCCGTATATATATATATATATATGTATGTGTGTGTGTGTATAAAAATATACATATGTATGTGTGTGTATACACTACCGCTCAAAGTTTTGGGATCAGTAAGACTTGTAATGTTTTTAAAGAAGTCTCTTCTGCTCATCAAGGCTGCATTTATTTGATCAAAAATACAGAAAAAAACATAATCTTGCAAAATGTTATTACAATATAAAATATTGGTTTCTATTATAATATACTTTAAAATATAATTTATTTCTGTGATGCAAAGCTGAATTTCCATCAGCCATTACTCCAGTATAAAGTGTCACATGATCTTCAGAAATCATTCTAATGTGCTGATTTATTATCAGTGCTGGAAACTGATGTGCTGCTTAATAATTTTTTTGGAACTTGTGATACTTTTTTTCAGGATTCTTTGATGAATAAAAAGGTAAAAAGAAGAGCATTTATTTAAAATAGAAATCTTTTCTAACAATATACACTATCGTTCAAAAGTTTGGGGTCAGTAAATTTGTATTCTTTTTTTTGAAAGAAATTAAAACGTTTATTCAGCAAGGATGTGTTAAATTGATAAGAAGGGATAGCAAATATTTATATAGTTAGAAAAGATTATATTTTGAATAAAAGCTGTTCTTTTTCACTTTTTATTCATCAAAGAATCCTGAAAAAGTATTACAGTTTCCAAAAAAAATATTTGGCAGCACAACTGTTGCCAACATTGATAATTATAATAATAAATCAGCATATTAGAATGATTTCTTAAGGATCATGTGATAATATGTATGTATGCATGTATGTATGTGTGTGTGTGTGTGTGTGTGTGTGTGTGTGTATATATGTATGTATGTATATATGTATGTATATATATGTGTATGTATATGTGTATGTATATATATATGTATATATTTTTCCATCAACAAGCTCTCATTTTCATATCTTTGCTGTTTGAATGTTGCATCCCTATTACCTATTACTACACTTGGGATTATGTATTCAAATAACCCCCTCTGAATGATATTTGTTTTAAATCTACATTTTTTTCCCCCTCCCCAGAGTCATTGGTGTCTCTCCTGCTTATGCTGGTGAAGAAATGTCCTGAAGTTTGTAACATTAATCACTTCCTCGTGCTTCTTGGTGCATATGGAGCTTCGCTGAGCACAACAGGTAGACGTGTCCATTAGACATGGTTCATTTGATTTGGATTTTAGATGAAGTCAGTTATGTGATTTAGTAAAATCTTTTGATTTTCACAGATCAGAAGATTTTACTCCTGCTCCAGGGATATGAGAAGAACAACATTAGTCTTACAGAGTTTCAGTATGTTTTAACATATTTCACCTCGCATGATTTCCACTAACAGGAAATGGTTGTTTAGTGCAAACATTATTTGTGTCTATTTGTTGTCAGGTATGTGCTCTGGGGCCCTGCCGCGGTAGAGCACCATAAAGCCCGGAAGAGCCTGGGACATTCACTGTGGCAGAAGCCCAGCTCAGAGCAGCTGCTGTCACTGCTCACTGCAGACAGGATGCTGAACACCGTCACACACTTCCCACAGCAGCGATACATCATCCCTCAGGTAGTAACAGGCTGTTAGACTAAATAACATTCAGTATTTCATAGTATTCTAATATATGGCTTTAAAGGACTGTTTACTCGCCCCCAGGCCATCCAAGATGTAGATGTTTGTTTGTTCATCCGAACAGAATTGGAGAAATTTAGCTCACTAATGGATCCTCTGCAGTGAATGGGTGCCGTCAGAATGAGAGTCCAAATAGCTGAGAAATATTATCACAATAATCCACAAGTAATCCACACAACGTCAGTCTGTCACTTAACATTTTTTGAAGCGAAAAGTATGTTTGCAATAAACAAATCTCTCATTAAGGCCATCTAAAATAGGAGTGCTCTAGCCAAAGTATTGCTTCCTCCAGTGAAAAAAATAGTCTTGTCTGATTCAGGAAGGAAATCTTCACAGATCAAACACTGTTTACAAGTGGAAAACAGTCCAAAACAGCTCTAAACAAGCATGTGGGTGGATTTTAATGTGAGATGACAGGAGATGGACTTTTTCCACTGGAGGAAGCGTTATTATTGATTATTATTTTGGCCAGCAGCAATGGTTTAAAGTTAAAACGCCTTAATGATAGATTTATTTTTAAAAATGCAGATTTTCACTTTACAAGACATTAATTGATGAACTGGAATGGTGTGGATTACTTGTGGATTATTGAGATGTTTTTATCAGCTGTTTGGGCTCTCATTCTGACGGCACCCATTCACTGCAGAGGATCCACTGGTGAGCAAGTGATGTAATGCTACATTTCTCCAAATCTGTTGCAATTAATTTTACGCATTTTTAAATTTTTTTTACTTTTGGGTGAACTGTTTCTTTAACATACAGTATTTTAAGAAACAAGATCATTAAAGGTGGGGTAAGCGATTTTTCTTTAGAAAAATTGATTCGGGCCGACTAGCAAAACAAACTTGTAGCCAATCAGCAGGAAGGGGCGTGTACACAGGATGCGACAAAGCAACCGTTGAAAATCATTTGAAATTTGTGTCAATACGTCATAAATAGATTTGTATCGGGTATTTGTCGTGTCGTGCCGCATCCAGTGTAGACCATAGATATGTATATATATATATCTATGGTGTAGACAGCATCACTGATTATAATGAGTTCTATAGTATTTTGTCGCGCCGCGCCACTCGCGTCCGGTGTAGACACAGTGTAACATTGGTTTTGCTTTGTTTCACAGAACTAATCGTTGCCTGGGTTGCGTACGCATGTGTGGGGCGGAGCTATCAAAATAGGGGCGTGACCCTTTTGGGGTAGGGGCGTGTTTGTTTTGGTGATTTCAAATGTCAACATTGGCTACCAGAAATCACTTACCCCACCTTTAAGTAAAAATAAACATTAAAGTATGGTGGAATAGCAGCGTTTAATTAAAAAAAAAAAGTTTACAGAAGCGACTCGCCCACATTCCATTGCTGTATGTTTTTTTTCCTAATTTAGATCACAAAAGCAGAAATTTCGAAGAATGTTCAAAAAGTGTAATGAAGTACCATAAAAATAATCCATACACAAATAGCTTTGTATGAAGAACAAACCAAAAGTTGCTACACTGCTAACATGCTTTTGTGGAATAAACACATACAAAATGTCCTTTTTTCCTATAAAAAAGAAATCATACAGGTTTAGAATGATATGAGGGAGAATAATTGATTTTCATTTTGTGTTGTTCCTTAATGTAAAAATGGGAAAAAATAAAATGAATTGTACACTTTTACACGCTGCATGAACAGCTTCTATCTCTCTTTCTACAGGAGAGTAGAAACGTGTTCTACACACAGCAAGGCAAGCATTTGTCATCTCTGTATGACCCCTGCTTCCTCCTGCCTTTGTTCAGCTTCATCCTTCGGCCAGGTAACCTGACGAGACATGCCCATAATGCTTTTCTTTTTTGCTTTGTGCATTGGACTTGATTTGAGTTTAAACCTTTACATTTACTTCCTCCTTTGCTTGCGAGCCTGCTTCTTGAAGGTCACACGTTATATTTACTTTTGTTAACTTCTGCTGTCATCTGTCTCTCTCTATTCAGAGTGTGCGGTAGACTGTCAGAAGTTTGTTTCCAGTCATGCTTTGGGCGTCACAGTGGCGTCCCTGAGCAGCTATGACCCTAAAGTGAGGGCCGCAGCGTACCAAGTACTGGGATCCTTTCATCAACACCTCGAGGGCGCTCGGTTCAGAGAGAAGAGACAGGTAGAGAACTCTCACTGTCTACCATTGTGAAATGACTCTTTTAGTTAGATTTATTTGAAGATTGTTAGATTCTAAAAGCTTTCTTTTGTTCCCCCCCCCATATTTTATGCAATTTGAAACTTTGCTATTCAGTGTTGTAATAAATAATAGAAATTATTAGTAAACATTTATGTCAAATGGTTTTAATACAGTATAAATACACTACCATAAAAAAAATAATTAATGCTTTTATTTAATGAGTATGCATTAAATTGATCAAAAGTTAGAGATACAAAGATTTCTATTTCAAATAAATGCAGTTCTTTTAAATTAGCTGTTTATCAGAGAATCCTGAAAAACATTGATAATAATAAGATCCAAAATCAGCATATTAGAATTAGGGATGTAACGATTCACTCAACTCACGATTCGAGTCACGATTTGGATGTCACGATTCGATTTGATTCACGGTTATTTATTTATTTTAACAAAATGAGATTTAAGACAAATTATAAATTAAATGTGTCCTTTTATTATTGCTTGGACAAAATGCTGCACATTTCTTTGTGAAATTGAAATATAACACTATAATAATATACTAATATAGCACTTGTATATCATTGCTCTTTTGTTAGTTTTGACTGCTTCTATTGTCCTCATTTGTAAGTCGCTTTGGACAAAAGCGCCTGCTAAATGACAAAATTTAAATATAACCATGAAACCGAAACAGCAGACGAGCTGAACGAGACGCAGATGCACTCTCTACCAGCAGGTGGCGCTTAAAGCGTTTCCTGGTTTCCGCTGTAAACAAAGCAGCGCTGCACTTATGAACTTTAATATGCATTATACAGAGGCAAGATGAGAAGAAAAAATACCATCTAAACTTTTCTAAAGACAGTAAGTTCGCCTCAGACATACATTCATATAAACTCCTACCCCTAAATGAATCGCGATTTGTTTAGCATCTCAACCGATTTGAATCGTCACATTTTAATTGATTTTCAACCGTCTCGCGGTTAATCGTTACATCCCTAATTAGAATGGTTTCTGAAGGATCATATGACACTGAAGACTGGAGAAAAAGATGCTGAAAATTCAGGTTTGCGTCACAGGAATAAGTTACATTTTACCATATATTTAAGTAGAAAACGGTTATTTTAAATTCACAATATTACTGTATCACATTATTACAATATTATTTACTGTATTTTTGATCAAATAAATGCAGGCTTTGTGATAAAAGACTTCTTAACATGAGAAATATGACAGTATAAAATAATGCAGTACAATATAATGTAATGTATGTTTATATATAACATCCAGGTACTGTACTTGCTTGACACTGTGAAGAACGGGATCCCAAAGCAAAATCTACGGATGCCAAATGTGCACGTGGCCTACATAACCAAAGTTGCTCAGCAAATCTTGAGACCTGGTGAGTGAGTTCATAGAGCCATACCAACTAACTTGACATTTTAATATAGAAGTAATATTGATGTTAATAAGTTAAGTTAAGACAAGATTGATGTTTTAAGGTTGCCAAAACCAAGAGTTCAACTTTTTTTTCCCCCACTGCAGAGGAACACATGTACATGGTGGTAAACAAATTTCTTTTGGGAACTCAGTTTCTGGACCTCAAGAGAGTTCCTGACTTCTTCAAACTCTTCTACAGTTTTGATCTGGAGGTAATGAAACCTCAGATATAAAAGATGACTGTGATACTATTAGACACTTTTGGTTGCATAGTAAATTATAGGGTAATAATAGAGTATACAGTATATATTCAAAAATGTACTATGATGTAACTACTAAGAAGTGTCTGCAACCAACTGATGTTTTGCTTGCTAAAGTCTCAAAAACGATACGTTTTGTTTCTCTGTCCAGCGCAAACTGGAGCGCGAGTGGGTGTTGAGCGTGTTGGAGGAAGGGGTTCGGGACAAGCACTGCTATGAGATCTGTGAGAAGCAAGGCATCTATCAGACCCTGCTGGGTTTCGCGAGCACACCGCTCTGTGACCAGGCCTCTCAGGTGCACTTGGAACATTTGACCCAAAATCTGTCTCTGTTTTTGTTTAAAGGTGCCATAGAATGGAAAACTGTATTTACCTTGGCATAGTTGAATAATAACAGTTCTGTACGTGGAAATTACATACCGTGATCCTCAAACACTCCTTATGTAAATCTGGTGCATTCAAAAGACCACTGAAAAATAGACGAATCAGAACATAACACCGACTGTGATGTTACAGTCGGGATCACTAATAGTTACGCCCCCAGCATTTGCATACCCGCCCATGTTCGAGGCCAGCCGGACCTGCACAGCCAAATCATCAGAAGTTCTGCAGGTATTGTGAAGACACAAGCGAGGATAATAGCGAAAATGGCAGATCATGGAAATAAATGTTATGTTCCAGGCTGTGCAGGGGATGTGATGTGCAGGGATGGGTTGGTGTCTGTATTCAGAAGGCACGGAAAACAAATAACGCGCGTTCTAATAAAATACCGCGAGCCACTAAAGGGACATGGTTAGCTGCTTGTTAGCGGTAGCCTGTTACATTACAGTACATAAGATTTCACTTACCACATAAACAGAGTAAGGAGAGATGACTGAGGATGATGGCGAATGATTTACAGATCCTGAGCACCTCTGACAAGCATCTGATCTTGTAAAATGTGTGGTAAGTACTGCCGCTGTAGTTTACACAGATCACGTGCGATCGCAAATCTTGAAAGTGAAAGTAAAACGCGATCGTGCATTCCAACAGTTTCAATGCCCCGCATATTAATAGCGGCTCCCTGATTTCTGCATTTTATATACAGTATAATTACCCAACGATATACAGTGGGGCAAAAAAGTATTTAGTCAGCCACCAATTGTGCAAGTTCTCCCACTTAAAAAGATGAGAGAGGCCTGTAATTTTCATCATAGGTATACCTCAACTATGAGAGACCACTGTGAAACAGCCAATCAGAGCAGAGCTCAACATTGAGCCGCAGTGCGAAACAGCCAATCAGAGCAGAGCTCAACATTATTATTCCTGACCCTTCCAAATAAGGTAAAAACAGACCATTTCATTCTAGGGTCAAATCCTAGGGGTTGTAAATGGACTTGTAAAACTGTTTCTGGAGATTTTTTGCCCTTACCAAAGGAATTTAAAATATTGTATCAATGCATTCTATGGCACCTTTAAAGCTGCAGTCCGTAAGTTTTGCCTCTTTGTCGCCATCTCTGTTTGAAAACCTGGAAAAGCTGGGTGCGGAATTATCTAGCTTGCATGGGTTGTGCGCCAGCGTGGATGAATCTAATGTTTTGAGGAGTATGTGTGTGTGGCAGTCAGTCACCACACCGGTGTGGATATTTACTGTACTTCGCAATCACAGATTCTAGCCTACGTCTTGGAATATGACCCAAATAAGAATTTTCACCGGATATTGCCATCTGAACAAGTAACAAGTCTGCCACATTTGTTCTGACCAACTGAGTAAAAAAGCATTACCATAAATCTTGCTACCAATGGTGATTAAATCTAAAGATCAGTTAGCTCATGTCACATCAAACCATTCAAATTATTATTATTGTTATACTTTATTCTCAAATGATTAATTTTGAATGATGAATGATTACTTGCAGAATACAATGAGATCTAAAAATGTAAAAAGTAATTGGTAACACTTCAGTATAGGGACCAGTTCTCACTATTAACTAGTTGCTTATTAGCATGCCTATATACACGTAAATAAATAATAAAGAGAAATTTTAAAATGGGAGTTCTTAAAAGTGTAACCTTTACTAGTCTAAATAGGCAGCTGAGAATTTTGATGATTTACATACATATTTTTTCTTGATTATGGCAGAATTCAATTATTATTATTCTTTTTTCAATATCTTCAAATTCATTTTATTGAGGAAGAACTTGTAAAAATGTGTTAAAAGTGAAATTAAAATGGAGTCCTGGAAAGTATAACCTAAATATGTTGCACCTGAGAATTTTGAGAACTTGCAGAATACAGTGAGCTCTACAAATTGTACAAATTTTAACATGTTTAATATCCTCAACTTTTTTCCCAGACATAGATTAAAAACCTAAAATTCCAAATTCTTTAAAAGATTCCCTAAAGAAAGTAAGGTGCACGTTTCCTAATTGTCACATATAATAACATATTATGGGTTAATATGGCTTGAAATCCACAGAAAACTGTTGATTTGACAGAATTTTCTGCTCTGCTGTTCCAGATTCAGATTGTGAATGTTCTGCGGCAGACCGCTCGTGTTAATAAAGCAGCTTACAACCTCACCAAAGAACATGGAGTCTTAACATGGATATTACAGCTAATAGACAAGAGGTGAGGGGTGGACGCCTTACCTTAATTTAAGCATTGGCGTGTGCCTTAAGTGTGCATGCTTCATTGGGCCCCTGCGGCAACTGATTGTGTTTGTTTCCTGTAGGTTTTTTGACAGCAAGCTGTTGAGTTCAGTAATTGAGTTGCTTCATGCTCTGTGGTTCACTAATTTGGGAAATAAAGAAAGTAAACCAGAAGCAAACAGCACTACATCAGAGCGGCCACAGACTTCAGGCAAATGTCTTCCTCTGCCAATCATCAATGAGTTCCTGTGCACGCTGCTCGCCATCATCAGACACCTGGGGTAAGACCATAAAAGATCAAACATCTGCCATTACAGGCTCATTATAGAAAAAGATGGGATTAGCGGTAGATTAAACTTAATTTAAAAAATGCAGAATTTGACCACTCTTATTTATTTCCATGAGGTCAACATATAATATTATAATAGGTTTATAGGGTTGTCTGTGCCAAAAACAGCCATATATTAGTTTTTCACAACCATTTTCCACTTTCTTTTTGAACCATAGAACGGGTTAGATGTAAAATATTTACTTGAAGTACCTGACATTTTAAGTTAATATTTCAGTAATTTAGCGACACGTTCATGTTCACGGTTCTATGATTCAAATAAATAGATACCTACCCTTTTTTCCCCAGTCTTTTTTAGTGAGTGTTTAGTTTGATTTTAATATGAAGATTGTCAGTTCAAGTTTGTTTTGATTCATTGTGCAGCCCCTTTTGTTTATTTTAATGTTACATTTGATTTAATTAATTACGAAAGGCCCATTCACACCAAGGACAGTAACTATAAAGATAAAGATATAGTTCAAAAATCGTTCACACCACAGCTATAACAATAAAGTTGGAATCACTTTCAGAGTGATTTTTTCCAACATTGACACCCAATCAGAATCCATCCTGCTATAACGAGCTCAAGAATTTAAAGCGGCAGATGAGTGTGCGCTGAGAATAAACAGACGATATCGTTCGCTGGTGTGGACGCTAATATCATTATCGTTCTTGGCTTAACTCGTGTCATAAATCCTCTTCAACATCATCTTTTGCAAAGCCTAAATTACATTATGATAGATTCATAAAACAATCAATGCTGAAATGTGGGATGTTAGACAGGAAATGCAGAGCTGTAGGTGCTACACACAGTGAGGAACAGTGCAAGAGAGGGGAAAATGGTCATCACAAGCTGAAGTATGACTGTTTTTGATGTAAAAACCTTGCATACTGGTTGCTAGCCATTTAGCAACCACTTGCAATCACTGTTCATCAAATGCAAAAAATCTGTTTTTTAATCTGTTTGCTTTTCTTCTGTTCCTGATCAGGAGTGGTGTGAATGCACTTCAGATGAAGGCATTCCTGCACACCCTCTCCTCTGTACTGTTGCATTGTGGGACAGCTCTGAATGCTCACAAGGAGGCCGGCTGGCTGACACTGCACCCACAGAAGCTATTGTGCTCTGAAGTCCTCCGGCTCCTGCAGCGCTGGGCAGCACTGGCCCGCGACGCCTCACTGCTCTCTGCTCTGCAGACTCTCGTCAACAAACACAAAGTCAAAGAGCTGATGGGTGAGATTTTAAACTACTCAAACTGATACTCCAGCGTCAGCACAGGTTAAAGGCATAAATTCTGTCACGATTTATTCACTGTATGATCTATATGACTTTATTTCCTGACAAATATTCAAGTGTCCATGTTTTGTACATGTGTGGCATGATGTTGATTACCTCAAAAATGAATTTTAAGTGAATGGGGTACAATTGTAAATATTTAAACGCTCAATAGTATAAACAAAACTTAAACAATGTGTCAACCTGATTTTAGGTTAACCCCCCCCCCCCCAACTTTTTCCTGTGTTATTTTGCTGTGGCAGTTGTATAAATGCTAAAATTATGGTAAAAAAAAAAAAAAAGATTTAAATAACTGTGATTTATACATGCATTTTGCATTTTTTTTCCTTTTCGTTTTTTGGTTATTTAATATATATTTATCGCATTCAAAATAAAAGTTTGTTTACATACTATATGTGTGTGTATATTTATTATGTATATATAAATACACACACATACATGTATGTATTAAGGAAAAATGTGTTCGATTTAGATCTAAAATATTTATATATAATATAAATTATAAGTATAAATATACATACAAATATTATTTTTAAATATTTACATATTTGAGTGTATTTATATATACATAATAAATAGACACAGTACACACACATAGTATGTAAACAAATGTATATTTTGAAAGCGATTAATCATTTTGCAGCCCTAATATATATACACACACTCACTCACACACACACACACATACGTGTGTGTATATTTATTTATTTATTTATTTTTATTAAAGAACTGACTGCCAGAAAATATTTTTTGTTATTTTAGCATTCCTGTTTCTTTTTATTTGTTTAAGTCATCCGTATGCACTGGATAAAAGTGACAGTAAAGACATTTATATTGTTGCATGAGATTTCTTTAAAAAATGCTGTTATTTTGAACTTTCTGTTCATCAGAAAGCATAATGTGACACTGAAGAATGGAGTAATGCCTGCTGGGAATTCAGATTTGCAATTACAAAATAAATAAAACATTAAAATATATATACATAAGCAGGTGTTATTTTTAACTTGTAATAATGTTTCACAATATATAGTTTTGTTTCTGTAGTTTTTATCAAAAAAGAAAAAGAAAAAGAAAAATGCAGCCTTGGTGTGAGTAAAAGTGACTCCTTTCAAAAACATTAAACAAATCTTTCCAACCCCGAACTTTTGAACAGTAGTGTATATGGCCAGTCCTTGGGCTTGTGGAAACTAGATGAATGTTAGACACTCAGATCACGTGTTTTGACACATTCTTGTTCCTAACTAAACATTTCTTATGTTTATCCAGGCTCTGGAAGAGAGAAAGGGCAAGGAAAATGCCACTCAGCGAAGCACGCTCAATTTCGAATGGAAAAACAGACAGAAACTGTCGATGGACAAGGGGAAAAACTGGAGCAGGCTTCGCTGGACGAGTGTAAACCGCTTCTTAGAAACATCCTCATACACTGGGAACCCAAAGAGAAAGAGCTTTCTAGTTCCAAGCCTGAACCCTTCACCACGGACAAACCTGAGTCGAGCAATCTAGATGATGCAGCTGCATGTTTAATTCTCAAGTGGGCCCTCAAGACATTGACAGAGAGTCCGTATGATAACAGCAGCACCATAGCCGTTTTAAAATGGTTCAGTAGCATCATACTGCCACGTACAAGTGTCATTGATGCTATTCTGATGGATGAAGGCATAAGAATGGACCTCCTAAGATTATATCACCACACATGTGACCACAGAGCTCAAGAGCATGGCTCAGCAGTGGACACCCTGCAGCTGTTCTCTAGAATCATGCTCTGTTTGCTGGAGGCACACAGCACTTCTCTGAATGGCATTCACCAGACGGTGATAAGAACCTGCTTGCTTACAAATGCAGACGATGGTGCCAAGAGAGGTAAGGTTACAGTCAGAGAGCACTCCCGTTCATTTCCTCTGTAGAGAAATCGATTTTTAGCATTTTGATTTCTAATTAAGTGAGCCAAGAGTGTGATTGTATTTAATAAAAAGCAAACAAAAACGTGCATGTCCTTGTGATGAACTACACTACCCATAATCCTGAAAAGCCACCCAGCAATCAGAACAGTTGCTGGGAAGAGTACTCTGAAATAGGAAACCTCTTTAAAATATCCAGTCCCATGAAGCACTGTGATGTCGTGAAATAGAGTTGAACAGTCTTAAACTGAGTGCATATATATATATATATATATATATATATATATATATATATATATATATATATATATGCACTCAGTTTAAGACTGTTCAACTCTATTTCACGACATCACAGTGCTTCATGGGACTGGATATTTTAAAGAGGTTTCCTATTTCAGAGTACTCTTCCCAGCAACTGTTCTGAGAGTGTATATATATATATATATATATATATATATATATATATATATATATATATATATATAAGCTGCTTGCAAATATATTTGAATATATCCAAATACACCACCTTTCAGAAGTTTGGGGTCAGTAAGCTTTTGAAATGCTTTTGAAAGAAGTGTTACGCTCACCAAGGCTGCATTTATTTGATCATAAATACAGTAAAGACATAGTGAAATAGTATTACGGTTTCAAATAACCGATTTGTTTAAAAATATTTAAAAATAAAATAGAAATTGTGTGTAACATTATAATTGTATTTAGTCATGTTTGAACAGTAGATTTGTTCTAATAATCAATAAGTCAAAAGTTTTATATTGTGAAGTCGTTTTTGATTCAGTTACGTTACATGCCGTTTTTATTGGGTTTAATTCACTCACTGTAATGCTATTAGATAAAGGGATAGTTCACCCAAAAATTAAAATTTGATGTTTATCTGCTTACCCCCGGGGCATCCAAGATGTAGGTGACTTTGTTTCTTCAGTAGAACACAAATGAAGATTTTTAAGTCAAACCGTTGCAGTCTGTCAGTCTTATAATGGAAGTGAATGGGAATCATGGCTTTGAGTCAAAAAAACATACACAAACAAAACCAAATTAAACCCTGCGGCTCGTGACGATACATTAATGTGTGAAGACATGAAACGATCGGTCTGTGCAAGAAACTGAACAGTATTTATGTCGTTTTTTTACCTCTGATGCAGTGCAATGTCTGAACTGTTCTGAGCGCGTTGTCTTCTTCAGCCGACGCGTCGTCGTCGTCGTCTTGTTGCTTTACGGCGGATTGCAGACTTAAGTGCGTTACCGCCACCTATCTCTCAAACGTACCATTGACACTCCTAATTGAGATTGTAGATAGAGTGTCAATGGTCCATTTGAGAGATAGGTGGCGGTAATGCACTTATACTTGCACGCTGTAAAGCAAGAAGAAGAAGAAGTGAACGCGCTCAGGACAGTTCGGAAATTGCGGTGAATCAGAGGTAAAAAACGACAAATCCTGTTCAGTTTCTTGCACAGACCGATCGTTTCATGTCTTCACACATTAATGTATCGTCACGAGCCGCAGGGTTTAATTTGTTTTTGTTTGAGTATGTTTTTTTTAACTCTCAAAGCCGTGATTCCCATTCACTTCCATTATAAGACTGACAGACTGCAACGGTTTGACTTAAAAATCTTCGTTTGTGTTCTACTGAAGAAACAAAGTCACCTACATCTTGGATGCCCTGGGGGTAAGCAGATAAACATCACATTTTCATTTTTGGGTGAACTATCCCTTTAAGCCCGGTTCACGCCAAGAACGATAACTATAAAGATAACTATATTAGCGTCCACACCAACGAACGATATTGTCTGTTTATTCTAAGCGCACACGCGTCTGCCGCTTTAAATTCTCGAGCTATAGCAAGATGGATTCTGATTGGCTGTCAATGTTTGTATCGTTCATCAGCTGGAAAAAATCGTTCTGAAAGTGATTCCAATGATATCGTTTCTCTGTGCCTTTATCATTATAGTTATATTTATGGTGTGGACTCTGCTATTCTTTAATATTGAGAAAGATTTTTAGAACTATATCTTTATCGTTATCTTTATAGTTATCGTGCTTGGTGTGAACGGGCCTATACTCCTTCTTTTTTTCAAATCTCATATAGTACTACTATAGTCTCTATAGTAGAACGTTGAAAAAGTGTGATAAGCTCTATATCCTGCATTTTTTGTCTTTTTCCACTGATGTGGTGATGTTTGTTTTGTTGACAGAAAGCGGACTGAAATTGCTCTCGCTGTACATCTATGAGCTCTGGAGTGGAGCGCGGTCACCTGACCTCCTGCTGACCCATGCCAGACATCTGTGCTACAGGACAGGCATCAGAAAACCCAAACCTCACGTCCTGTGCATGTGTGAAGACATTCTGTCTGCGGTTGAATCATGACATGCAATACAAAATAGGAATAAATAAAAGTTGAGTGGATCTTTTTGTAGTTTTATAGTCGTTTAAAAAAAAAAAAAAAAAAAGCACATCTATAGCACATTTTTAGTAGTTCTTCACTGATACTGACACGTCCCCTTTGAGAATATCAGATGAAAACCATTCCAAAATCTAGAATATGTTCTCATTATTGATATTCAGTGAATGTTGTATGAAATGCGTTTTAATTTCAGAAATTGTATGTACACCTAATTTTTCATCATTAAATTTCATAAAAATAAACAGACACATTCATCATGATGTTGTGGTTTAATGGCAGATGCTCAGCAGTCAGTTGTCACTTGAAATGAAATATTAAATAGATCATCATGGATTTAGTTTCTTCTTGAAGTTGCTTCTTTGTATCTTTTCTGAGGCGCTCCGAAGCTTTTCATCAATGGCAACCCAGATTTTTTGACATGAGGGCCCCTACATAAACAAATGAAAATTAATATCCACTGCATAAATATTTGTTCTTTTCTTAATCATTAATGTCCCAATGACTATCTAGAAGCCTTTTTAATAAATTAGCTGAGTATTATGATCTCTATACGTTAAACAAGTATAGTTGGTTATGTAAAAAGCGCTGTATTGTCTTTTTTTCATTTTTAGAAAAATAATGGAAAAAATAACATGCATTTAAAATAAACATTGTGTAATAATAATAAAATATTGTTTATACCATGACATGGAGAAAGAAAAAAAAAAACATTTTCCCTCGGAAGTTGCCTTGAGTGTGATATAAGTGACAAAATCAAGAAGAAAAACCCAATAAATGCAGCTAGAATGATCCAGAATATTATGACAATTGAATCTAAAATAACAATACAAAAAAAATACAGTTAGACATGAGATTATCTGAACTGTGATCAAAAAGAGGATGTCAAAGTAGCTCACATCTGTTGTACTTCAGTGTAGTGGCATTCACGGAGACCGGATCTATGTAATCGTAGTAGTACTCGTAATCCCACACATATTCTGATGACTTTGTGGAATTTTTCATTGTCTTTGGATTCTGTGATTCAGTGTGAATCTGAGCCAAAAGATGGAAACCCCTTTCCCCCCCTGAAAAAAAAAAAAAAAAAAAAGGTAATTGCGACTTTTTATTTTGTTTATATCTCACAATTCTGTAAAAAAAAAAAAAGTCCGAATTCTGACTTTTTTTTTCTCAGGATTGCGTGATATAAACACAATTTCGAGTTATAAAGTCAGAATTGTGAGATATAAACTCGCAATTGCGAGTTAAAGTCCAATTTTGAGGGGGAAAAATACATGTTCTCAGAATTGCGAGTTTATATCTCACAATTCTGAGGGAAAAAGTCAGAATTGTGAGATAAAAAGTCGCAATTACCTATCGCCACTGAATAAAAAAAAAAAAAAAAGGAAATTGCGACTTTTTATTTTGTTTATATCTCACAATTCTGTAAAAAAAAAAAAAGTCCGAATTCTGACTTTTTTTTTCTCAGGATTGCGTGATATAAACACAATTTCGAGTTATAAAGTCAGAATTGTGAGATATAAACTCGCAATTGCGAGTTAAAGTCCAATTTTGAGGGGGAAAAATACATGTTCTCAGAATTGCGAGTTTATATCTCACAATTCTGAGGGAAAAAGTCAGAATTGTGAGATAAAAAGTCGCAATTACCTATTTAATTTTTTATGGCGGAAACGGGTTTCCATAGGAAAAGCGCTATACAAATAAACGTGACAACTTGAATTGAATAGCTTTGAGCTTTGACTCCATAAAAAAATCAGTGAATGAAAATATAGCATCCAAACATAAACAATAGTTTTTCGTAAATTATTTGTGCCCCGTGTTTACGTAATAACATCAATCATGCAATATTTAATCGTTTATGTAAATAGCCATTTCACGCAATGCGTTGTCTATCCTAATGTTTGAAACCTTTTCTGTAATTATGTAATTTAGGAAAACTGTAAACGATTCTTGCTTTTATTATGTTTATGCTTAATGATTATGTGTTTAAAATTAATTGAATGATCACAACTTCTAGTAAAGGGAAAGTTTTTATTTTTTTATTTTTAAATTAATCTTTAATAACAGAACAAACACAAAAAAGTAAGACGTCTGTGCAAACCTATAAAGATGTCATATTAAATTGACCAATAGTGAGTGAGATACACGGATGATCCCGCCTCCGGTGCGCGATTCATCCAATCACAGGAGACGGTGTATGTTTGAAACCGCCAGTATCAGATCACATTACACGGACTTCATTGCTTACAGCTGTGTACATGTCGAAGTTTCGTTTTCAGCCGAACATTACAACTCATTCCTTCGTGCTTCCTCAGTTAAAACTTATGATCCTCAATCAGTGTTTGAAAGTCGCTCGGAGTATAAACTAGTCGGGCATTCGCGTGTCATACGAATGGACAGCGTTTAACACTTTTAAATGCGAACTAATAGAGTCTGGCTTATTTATTGAACCGTTTAAAAAAGTGTTACACTATGGCGGATGGGGCTTTGGTCTTCGGAGCGAATCTAAACGCGAGTTGTTTGACCTCTCGAGCAAAGAAAGTCAACAACAGCAGCATTTCAGTAGCAGCGAACATGAGGAGAAAGACGCGACAGAGCAACAGAAGAGACATTCACAACCGGGTAACGTTAACGTTCTGAGCCTCAGCCCTGTTGTGTTGACTGTAAGGTTAGAGCGGAGCAGGCCAGAGAACGCAGAACTGAACGAGTCTTCCTGTTTGATTGTGTTTGTTGATTGCGTTGCGTTTATCAGCATGCATGTGAAATGTCCACGTGCACAAGATTGATTAGCTGTATGAAGTTGCATTATGATTGCAGGTCGTCTTGGAGAAGGTCCTGGGCATCACTGCCTCCAGCAGCAGTGCTTTAACCTGTGACCCCAACACTGGTTTGGTGGCATATCCTGCAGGGTAAGACTATTTCTATTCATGCATTCTGTGTCCAAGTCCATACTTGAAGGAATAGTTCACTCAAAAAGGGAAAATTGTCATTTACTCACCCTTTGCTGTTCCAGACATTAAAGGCGGGGTAAGTGATTTCTGGTAGCCAATGTTGATATTTGAAATCACCAAAACAAACACGCCCCTACCCCAAAAGGGTCTTGCCTCTATTCTGATAGCTCCGCCCCACACATGCGTAGCAACCCAGGCAACGATTAGTTCTGTGAAACAAAGCAAAACCAATGTTACACCGTGTTTACGGACGTGAGCGGCGCGGCGGAATCAAATCCCCGTCGGGTTCTATTTATGACGTGCTGACACAAATTTCAAATGGTTTTCAACGGT